GGAACCTTTCTGGAAAACTAACAGTAAAGCTGTATCCTTGAAGACAGAAACAGTGCGTACTGTGGCAAGAGAGATCCAGGTGGGGAAAGCTGAGAATGGCCTGGGTGGGAGGTGGTGAGGCAGAGAGAGGACGGAGCTCAGAACAGTAAGAAAGCCCTGGTGAAACTGGTGTCAAGTGGGGGACGAGGGTGACAGTCCACAGGAAAATTTAGGTATGTATAACAGTTCCCATGCTACATCTCGGTGTAATTTGGATTAGATTGAAAAGAATTCTGTGATCTAATTTCTATTTAAAAACAAAGAACTAGTATGATTAGCATGGCTGATAAATGTGAAGGGAATGGGCTAAGAAAGGGAAGGGAAGGAAAGGGGCTGAAGAGGTAAAAGACAAAGGGCAACAAGAAGCGAATTCATCAAAGAGAATGTTGCCAGGGAGACGTAAAGTCTCTGGTAACCAAGAAACGCTGTGGTCATGGGTTATGGTGAAGCGGGGCGTTAAAGTCAGGATCCAGGTTCCTGCTGGAGCCGTCAAACAGGTAGAAGTGAAAGCTTAGATTCAGAAAGCTGGAGGATGTGTATGGAGAGGACATAAGTGGAGGGGCCGCAGAGGTGGACCACAAGGAGTAGGAGATCAAGAGTCGCATGGTGGAGGTGTGCTGGGGGGAAGCTGCTAGGCAACACCTGTGGGGAGTGTCAGTTCAGAAAGGAGGCATGGGCATGCACGCATGTCGCTCACTGGCATTCCAGGTTGTTTGAAGCCGTGGCCCTCTAAATTCAGAACGTAGGTAGATATTAGAGAGATGAGAGTAAGAGGAGGGAAGCCGAGGAAATATCTCACTCAATAAAGTGTTTGCCATGGAAAACAGAAGGATCTCCAAACCCACATTTAAAAATGTCGGTATGTGGTGGCACGCTGGGAAGACAGGGACAGTGATCTCTGGGGTTCCCTGGCCAACCAACCTAGCTTAATTGATGACTTACAGGCCAGTGAGAGACCCTGCCTCAAAGAAACAAGGTGGGAACCAGGGCGATGCCTCAGCAGGCAAGGGCACTAATTTCCTGTATAACCCGATGACCAGTTTTGTTCCCGATAATCCACATGGCGGAAGGCAAGTACCAACTCCTATAAGCTGTTTTCTGACCTCCACACACGTGCCATAGAGTGTTCACAAACAGAATAATATTTTTAAAGAACACAGCAGACGGGGCCTGAAGAACAACACCCAAGGTTGACTTGTGCCCTTCACAGGAGCCTGTACACATGTGCACTGCCCCTCCCCCACAAACATAATGCAAGAGAAAGAATACCAGAAAAGGATGAGCTATAGGGCAAAGTTGGAGAAGGCTGGGGGGCGGGGAGAAGCTAAGAGAAAAAAAAAATGTTCACAAGAGTCTGAAAGGCCCAGAGTGGGCTGGGAAGAGCTGAAGTCCATGGGAGTCTTAAAAGGAGAAATTCGATGGCGTGGTGGAGACTAAGCCAAATGGAATGGGAAGGATGCTGAATCGGCAAATAAAGAGGAGACACAGTGTCTGCCGGTAAATCGTCTGAGAAGTTTGGGATGCGGAGCGAGGGTATCTATTTTAACTGATGATATTCTAAGATAATAACAGCAGTATGGTACCCATACAGGTGTGGTAAACTGGCAAGTTTTGTGCAGAAATGCTGAAGACCTGAGAGGCAGCAGGGGTCGGCTGAACGCAGAGGTCAGGAATTCCTGCGTCAGAAAATGCTGTTCGGCTGTGGCTGTTTAGAATGTGTAGTGTCACCCATCTGGTCCAGCCTTTGTTTCCAGTCCCCTGCCCCCCAGTCCTCCTTGGGAGCCCCTTATCCAGTTTTTGACATTTTTCATATCATGTGGTGAGAGACAATAATTTCACCTGCCAAAGCCCACTAATCCCCTAACAGCTGCAGGATCTGCTCCATGCCCTGAACTTCCTTCTTGAATAGCTTGGCAGGAGGGATGGTGGAATGAAGCGGCCTTCTGGGTTTGTTTCTGCCAATGCTGTGGGATTTTCACCTCTACCTTAGGTCTCAAACACAGCCCAGCTTTCCCTGGGAAGTCAGACCCAGCATCAGCCCAACTTGCTTCACTTTTGTGAGTCTGATGCCAATGACATGTGATGTGGAGACAGATCTATAGGTGAGCTATGCACAGATAAAGTCACACTGGTGGGAGAGGCAGAGTGTCCACAGGGAACACAATGCCCTATTCTCAGGCCCCACGAGGTTTCCATCAAACTGCAGTATGATTAATTACTACAATCAATTTAATTGATACCTTTGAATACCCAAACAAGATATTTGATACCACCAACACAAGTTTCTGGATATCTCAATACAAAGGCTGGGAATGAGAAGATAAGGCATTAACTGAGACTGCCCATACACCTCCAGTGTGTGTGTGTGTTGGGGGGGAGCACTCACATGCCATGGCGTACATGTGGGAGTCAGAGAACATCAGCTGTTAGTCGTTTCTTTCACTTTGAGCCATGGTCTTTCTTGTTTTGCCACTGTGTTGTGGATTCCAGGCTACCTGGCCCAAGAGCTTCTTGGGGAGTCTCCTGCCTCCACTTCCCATCTTGCTAAAAGAATGCTGGCATTACAGACACATGCCTCCATGTCTGCCTTTTCCCTTGGGTTCAAAAGACCCTAGCTCAGGTGGCCAAGCTTGCACAGCTAAGGTTCTCCCTTTCTGACCCATCCGTCTCCCCAGTCCCATACATCAGGGACATTGACTTAACTCTTTGATTTGACTGTGAGTTAGAGAAAAACATGTCCACTATCCAAATAGGTTCTTTGGAATTTCCAAGGCTGGTCGTAGAAGAAGCGTACATGAAGTTTGAAATGAAAAGGCTATGCAGTAATTAATTTTGACATCCAGAAAATCAGAAAATGAAGTGGAATGTGTACAGCAGCTTCCGGTTCTCATCAAGTGATTCTGAGCTCAGCCTTTGGCAATGAGATCCAATGCCCTTGTTTACAGGTCTCAAACACACAGGGGTCGTAAAAGGAAGTCACATGAGCAGTAGAACTTACTCAAATTGAAACTTTTTGTTGTTGTTGTTGCTGTTTTTCTTTGTCTAATAGAGAACTCGATAGACAGGGAAGAATGTGTCAAATCTTGTTTCTTTCTTGCTAACCCAATTTGGAATTTTAGGCTTAGTCCAGCTGTTCCTAAATCATAAGGGAAGAGGAATGCATACTATCTCCACGAAGGGGAAATTCCCCACCAACAAACTAACACTTTTAATTCTAAGTTCTGCCAATTATTTTCCATGTTTTCCCTAGTGGCCATCAGCTAATGTTCACGTTGCGGCCTGAAACACATAAATAAGACCTCAGCACGGTGTCACCTGTGGCCTGCAGATCACTTGGCAGTGTGTGGGGACCGCCCCTGAAGACAGCAGCACCTTTGTTCAAGGAACAGTGCACTTGCATTGGTGACAATGGCAAGGCCGGGAAATTGAGATGAATGGACACCATTCATCTTATTAATGAACAGAAAAGTAAACAGAAATGAGGAGCCACTGTTTGACTATGCCCAAGCCACCCTGCAAGGGCTCCAGTGATATATACTCGGTGCACTAAAAATAATAAACAATTAGAGCAAACAAACAAACAAAAAATGGTAGACTCAGCAAAGGTTAATGGGGAAAAGGAACTTACTCATACGCAAGACCAGGCTGCCGTGACATATCAGGGTTTCTCAGCATCTACTGTCTGTTACCTGGCATGTCTTTGCTTTTTTTTGTTTGTTTGCTTGTGACAACAGAGGACCTTAGAACTTTTTTCTAAAGCCACATTATTTAGCCCAAATCATGCAATTCCATTTAACATTTAAATTCCAGTAGTCGGAACACCTGCCTTTCCCGTAGAAAACACATTCTAATATCGTCCGTTTACCTTGGTCTTTTCGCCTACGATGTTCTTTTCCAGTTCTGTGATTTTCCGGTTCAGATGATCCAGAATCTCCTTCTCCTTCATGAGCTCAGCCGTCTCGGATTTCTGCTCTCCATCCAAAAGAGCACATTCCATATCCAACTAAGGACAAAAAAGAAAGCTCAGAAACATTTCACCTTCAGGAACGGCTGCCCACCGCTGAGGTGCAGGTTTAACAGATTCTCAACAAGTGTTACTGACCAGTCAGACTGTGGGGTTCAGGCATGAAATCTGGGGTGCCTGCCTAAGAAAGCTGGGGCAGCCCATTATGTATTGGCTTAAAAAGCTAGTCCCCTGAACACTTCACTTTTCTATGGCCACCTCTCCTCAGTAATATTTGGCCTAATTGCCTAGGCTTTAGCTCAAGAGTAAGCTGCCTGGAATACAGCCAGCTGGTCCTTGTCCCTGGAGTTGGAGGAGTGAGCATTATCCCAGCCCCCATAAGAGAGGCCCACATTCCTAGAGGATTCCGGGGGGCGGGGGGCTAGTACAGGAGATGACAGGTGAGGACTCCAGTCCCCTCACTGGGCACCATCTGTGAGTGCTGACTCTGCCTCTCACGCCAGGCACGATTCCATGCTTTCTGCCACTCCATACGATGGCAATATTAAGTGTGTCATTACCTTCTACTTCTACAAAATGAGCGAGTCTACCTCCTGTTCTGCAAATCTGTAGAAAGTTGGCTTCCTGTTTAATTCACATGTGAAGTGAATCTTTTAATAATACCTACGTGATACTAATGCATAGTAAGAATGCTCAGAAAATGTTAGCTGAATTTGAACTTGAATACTTCATAAATAGAGGATAATTTAGCAACTGGCCTTGCAAACTGCAAAAGCACATATTGTACAAATCAAAAAAGTTTGGCTAGATATAAAGTGAATTAAAGCTGGCTTAATATGTTTATATCATCAGATTTCACAGCATACACACACACAAACACACACACGTGCACACACACTCACACACACAATGTGGGGCAGGGCACTCTACAAATGATTCCCACTGAACAAGCGTTTGCTCATGTTGATCTCTGTGAATTCACTTCTCAGGCTTCTTCCACAATGAGAAGAACTATCTAAGCTGATGGGAAAAAAGAGAAAAGGGACAGAGTAAACGGTGAGCTCCCAGCTTATACCTCTCTGGAGGATTCATCCATTTGGTCATTTATATCTTTGATTTTCTGTTCAAGTTCCTCAAGGTTGTTCAGAATAACCATCCGGGCATCTTCCATTGCAGCCAACTCCTGAGTCCTCTGTTCCTCACCTATATCCTCTGGGGTCTGTGATCAAGCAAAAACAGACATGGGTTATCCACACTTCAGTTCTAGAATTTTCCTATTTGACTGAAAAAGCAGCTCCAAGGATTAATGTGTCCATGTTGCTCCACATGGAATGCCTGGGAGGGCCAGCCTGAGCTACATGAAATCTTTCTCTACCAAATGAAATATATCGGTAGAAAAGCATTTTAAAGAGCACCTGGGGCAGTTTCATTGACCCACGATGTATTTTCTCACAGAGACTACGCTGCTCTACGCAATTATATAGCCAGACGAGAGCCAACAAACCAACTTCCATTCACAAATGTATATCCTTTTACTGCTCAAAGGACTAAGAGGCTCTCCAGACCAGGAAGTGGCAGAAGGCAGAGGTGAAGTAGCTTCTCCAGTGTTATAAAGTTCAACACACACAGCAGGGAACCAGAGACGAGGCAGGGCCTTTGACACCCTCCTTCAGGCGATCTGCTTGTTGCTATGTTGCTGGCTTCCTTAGAAGCTCCACCTGTAGCAGCCACACTGCTAGGTCTTGCTATGCGGGCTGCCTCTGAATAAATATTTGTACTTATTTATTCTCTTCTAACACAAGGCAGACATCAGTTTTGACATGGTCATGCCATTCAATGTCAAGAGGCATATTTGATACTTCTAGTGGATGCCCCGTGTATTGTATTAGTTCACTCTTCACTAACCTCATCTTATAGACAGTCTTTGTACATGGTTAAGACATCAACGGAACAGAAAATAAGATACTGGTTACCATTGAGTTCATGGGATAGCCCAGGATTCAAGGAAAGCAATGAGAATGTTCAACACCTGGAGGGACAGTGTATTTTTATGATCTCATCCATTTAATAGTACACTGGGGGTAGGGGAAGAAAGAAATGCTATAGATGATGTACAAAGCCCAACATGCCCACTGCTTAAAAAGAAAACAGACTGTATCAAAACTGCCTCTTCTCCCTAGGACTTTGGATTAGCTATCTTGAGTGTCTCCTGGAGGAGATAGAAAACTTTACATATGAAGAGAGATGCCAGGGTGTTATAATAATATTTAATTTTTACATATCTCTTGGAAGAAAGTGATTTTTGGATGAGTAAGTTATGACCAGATATCCCACAACTCAAAAATGCAAACAGCACCCCAATTCAGTAAATTCTTGAGGAGTCTTCTTTAATAGTTAAAAGGACCATTCACAGGACATGGTGGCAACCCCAGAATGAGGGAAGAACTGTTGCTACTTCCTGAACAGCCTGATTCACACAGCAAGGATGAGGCCAGCCAGGGCCACATAGCAGACCAGGTCTCAGAAAACCAAACCAAACCAACCAACCATCCAACAAACCAACCAACCAAGCAAACAAACGATGGAACAATCAACCAACCAACCAACCAAGCAAACAACCAACCAACCATACAAACATCATAGTAATTATTGTATTCAGACAATCACTGCACCTAGGAGAACTTTACTGGGTTCATTTAATTTGTTCCCTAATCCTGATATAACTTTTAAAAATGTCTACCGAGTCATATTCAACATTATTCACCCATAGTCTTAATTTCATTACCCTATTTTGTAGTTCCAAAAGGAGACTGAATGAGTAAAAATTAAAAATCTTGGCCCAGTATGGTGGTGCACATCTTTAATCCCAGCATCCTGAGGCAGAGACAAGCAGATCTCTGTGAATTTAAGATCATCAGTCTGCTCCAGTGAATTGTAGGCCAGCTGTGACTACAAAGACAGACACTACCTCACTGGGACTCACACTACAGCTTCCATGACAAGATGAGATTTCTTTTAAATTTTATTTTATTTTTGGGGAAGCTTGCAAGGGAAGAGGGAGGATATGAGAAAATGGGTAGATGAAGCGAATCGGGGTGTAAGATGTGAAATCCACAGAGAAACAATAGAAAATTTTAAAAAATATATAAAATCTATATCTCAGTAGGTTAGAACAAAGACACACGGGCCTTTCGAGCTTCGACATTTAGTTTTTGTATTGTCATTTTATCCACTATCTCACCAACAAACTAAACAACTGCTGACCTTTCCATCAAGAAGAGTGGAGTTTGTTGTCTCATACTCAGGTGCTTGGTTAGGGCTGGGAGGAATGTCTAACAGTGAAGGGTGCCCAACATCACTGCCTAGTAAATGCAGCAGGAAAGGCCCTAAAGTATCCTGTCGGGCCAGCATTGCATATTAGGTTTCTACTTCCAACATGGTTTAAATATATCTGTCACCAGTGGAAACAAAGCACCAAGAGAAGACAAAACAAGCTCACAGTCTGTACACTTTGTAGGGCAAGGAGGGAAGATAATTAACAATAGATATGCTAAGTGTTTACATGACTCAGAGATTTTAGAAACTCTATCACAATGGGCATATTTAGAAGCTGCTTTCTGCAATAAGGGTACAAACAAGGATTTTTTGGAAGCTGTTGGGATAAATTCAAGAGGCATTTTAAAACTGAATGATTTCATTTGTTTGAAGATTTTTTTTTTGTCTGTTTTGCCTGAATGCATATCTGTGCCCAAGGAGACCGTCAAATCCCCTGGAACTGGAGTTATACCAGCTGTGGGCCATCTGAGGTGGGTACTGGGAATCAAACCCAAATCCTCTGTGGGAGCAGCAAATACTCTTAACCTGTGAGATAGCTCTCCAGCCACCAAACTGAATGCTTTGAGACAGAATGGAAGAAAAGTTTTATTGCAATCTCATTAATTAACAGAATAGAGAAAATCAGTGGAGAACCAAACCCGAGACAGGAGATGGATAGCTTTAATTACATGGTAACAAAAAGGTGAAATTTGTAAACTTATTACCCTCTATTCAGTTGTGGGCTGTATTTTTATAGTAAGGTGTAGAACTGCACCAGTATGTGCAGGAGCAAAGACATCATCTTGGAGGTAACTTGGTCAACGGAGAGAAAAAGAAGAGGGTAGGAATAAGACGATTTCTTCTCCCGCCACTCTTTGTAGACCTCGGGCAGCCTGCAGAGGTGCGTGGCTTTGCACTGTAGATAGAACAATTACTGAAAAATAGGTCAGGAGCTGTCTATGAGTCAGCTGCCTCAGACGGTGCTAGATAGGGTCACAGAGAACATTCAGATGAGTGTATAGCCAAGGACACAAACACCTTTCAGTGTTAGGGAATCTAAGGTCCTGACTGGCAAATTTCAGGTGTCCCAAAGATCATAAAAATCTTTTTCAGGACAGATTTTGAGTGTTTTTTTTTTTGTTGTTGTTGTTGTTGTTTTTTAAACTAGTCCTCTCTTGTCAACTTTCCCACCTACCAGCTTAACAAGCACCATACTTCATGAAGCAAATAATCCAGGAGCACAGTACTAGGAAAGGAAGGACAGACACTCCACATTGAGGGCCAGGAGATTTGTCTAAGTTTCCTGTTTCTGCTCTTGAGTTATCATGCGCCTGTTTTTGAAAAGCAGATGAACACCTACCTCCTGTCACCCATCCCCCTCTCATTTGCACCCTAATGTGCTTGGTAGCCATCTGAGATGAGCTCCATGTTTTCTGTATCTACCAACATAGTCCGAGACAATAGATCCTGCAGCATCTCCAGGGGCTCCACTTCCACAAAACCTTATCTGAGCAAATGAAAACCTCTGACAGGATCTATTTGTTTAGACAAGCTTGTCAGAGCCTTCTCCCAGAAGACTGCCTTTAGACTGCACAGCTCAACGATTTTAACAAAATCAAGCCACTCTCTATAAAGGAGATTAGGAAATGAAACTGATGGAAAGGCACAAATCTGTAAGGAAGTGACTGATGACAATTGGCCAAGGTCTCAGAGGGGTCGCTTACTTTTCCTGAGTATCCAATAACTTGTTCAAAAAATATATTAATTTATGTATACAGGTGTTTTGTTTTCATGTAGGCCTCTGTACCGTGTGCATATAGTATCCATGGAAACCAGAAGAGTACATCTCATTCCCTGGAAGTGGAGGACAGAAGACTGTTTCCTGCCACGTGGATGCTGGTAATCGTACCCAGGTCCTCTGGAAGAGCAGTCAGTGCTCATAAGCACTGAGCCATCATCTCTTCAGCCTCAACACAGTAACTTTTCATTCCTCCATCCTCCCTCCATCTTTTCATCCTAATTGCTAAGTTTCAGCATGCCAGCAGGAAAGCCAAACATGCTACTGAGAAAGGAGAAGTGACTGATGAACACAATGCATGTAATCCGCCACAGTCCTGACATGTAGCCGGAGGTGCTCAGCAATATGTAAGAAAAGTATTGCTATATAGTTAAAGTAAAAAAATAAAATTGCACATATGAGCTTCTTCAAATCCTTGTGAACACTAGTTTTAGGACTTAGTACCATGATGTCAAATTCTAATGTACCTTTTTAAAGTCAATACTGCTACTATTAATATTTGCATTTTTGTTCAGGGTTGGTCATGTGTGTATGCGTGTGTGTGTGTGTGTGTGTGTGTGTGTGTGTGTGTCTTCTTTTTGTGGGTAGTGCTGGGCATTAAACCCAGGGTCCTGCGCGAACCTTTTAACCACTGAATTATACCCCTGATGTTTTTCTTAAAGAACCAATATTGGGCTGGAGAGATGGCTTAAGGGTTAAAAGCACTTCTTCCTCTTATAGAGGACCCAGGTTCAATTCCCAAAAACATGGTTGCTGAGAAGCATCTGTAACTCCAGTCCCAGGGAACCAATGCCTTCTTCATTAATGGATCTTTTGTTATTTTTCTGTTGCCATGAGGGACACAATTTCAAGATGGCATTATATTAAGACCTACTTTAATTAGTAAACCCTATTTGTTTTTAAATAAATAAACCTACCTCATACTTGTGGTAGCATTTTTCCCTCTTATTTTGGTAATTTAATTTAGCTAAATGAAATGTATCTTTAATTCTAAGTAGCCTCTTTGTAGAAAAGACGGTAGAAAAATTCTAGAAACCATCCTAGAAAACAAAAATTCTTAATCTATGGGAAAAAAATAACACTAAGAAAGTCACAGAGCTTCATTTTTAAAACCCTCAAACTTGGAAGATATTTGTAAACCAATACGCAATCAGAAGACTAGTAATAGTTATGACTACCAGTAAATATTACATTTCTAAAATGGGTCATGAATAAAGCCACAGGAAAGTCCTCTCACAACAAATGCTAACTTGCTACCAACAAGCATTCCTTATAATTCAGTAAAGCTTGGACAAGTAAGTTTTGAAGAGAGAGGACAAAATGAAAAATACTTTAAAATACAAAAAGGTACCTATTTTATGTATAATTAAAGATAAATTTAAAACACCTATTAGTTGAAAAATTGAAAAACTGGCAGTACATAAACTTCACAAAAGCATAGGGAATAAATTGTGACCATAAACTAGTAGTGAAAGTGTGCAGCAGAAGAATATTTTTTTAATTTTTTGAGATTATAATATAATTATAGCAATTATTCCTTCCCTTTTCTACCTTCAAACCCTCTCACATGACATTCCCCACTCTCATTAGAATGCAGGGCCTCTTTTCTCACTCGTTATTACACACATATATCTATATACATATACAGCCTTAAAAGTAATCCGTTGAGTCAGTATGATGGGGTGTGTGTGTGTGTGTGTGTGTGTGTGTGTGTGTGTTTCAAGACTGACCATTTGATACTGGGCATGTGCTCTTCCCTGGGGCAGACCACCTCTTCCACCCCCAGCTTTTCCCAACTGCCTCTATCAACCATATTCTTAAAGGAATACAAGCTTGGGTATGTTCATACATAAAACAAATAATGTACTAGCCCGGCATAGTGACTCATACCTGTAACCCCAGAACTCAGGAGACTGAGTTTTAATTTTAGTCATTCCACTTCCAGTAAGTGACCCAACAGAGACAAGTATATAAAAATGCGTATCATAGAAAATGGCTACATGCAAATTTTATCATTCCAAACTAGGAATAATATGCATGGTCCCCCCTTTAATCCTAATGCAAACAATAATGTATCAGGGAAAGCAAAGTTTAAAAAGTATATTGGCATGCCATCTCGCCTGTCTTGGAATGTCTATCATCAAGGAGATAAGGGCTGGCAAGGGTGTGTGGTGAACTGGGGGAGAAGAGAACTTACCCATTGATGGTGAAATGTAATTTAGGACAGCCACTACAGAAATCAGTATGGAGATCCCCCAAAACATTAAAAATACAACTTCTCTATGATCCAGCAAGACCACTCCTGAGTACATACCCTAAGGATTTCAAGTCAACAGCCCACAGAGAGAGCTTCACATCCGTGTGTACAGTCTCACTGTTTAGTACAGATAACTTAGGAGTCAGGCTCAATGCTGATCAACAGATGAAAGTATAGAGAAAAATATATATATACATATTTTAGTATACACACACACACACACACACACACACAAGTCAATACAGCATCATCTAGCCACAAGAAGGAAAGAAGTTATCCACAGGATAATGGTTGAAACTGGAGACAACCATGTTAAGTGAAATAACTCAAGTCTCGCATGCTTTTTTTCATATATGACATAGGAGGAGTAGGTGAGTCGACTAGGAACTAGGAAGAAAGTGGAGTGAGAAACTGGGAAGGGACAAGGAAAAGGAAGGGTAGCAGAGGAGAGGAATATGACCCAATTACATCGCAGCTGTGTGTGAAAGTTTCATGATGAAACTCACCAACTAAAGCATGCTCAATAAAAAATTTTAAGAATCCAATGGATAAAAAATTTCCACCAGGATTTTGAAGAACAAAATAGGTCCGTGTAGTAGACACAGACACCCCTGTAATGGTGGGAGGCCACAGAGAGCAGTGGGTGTGTGTACAAATCAATGCACAGGCAACGTAACAAGTCAACAAGACACAGAGCTGCACTTCTGAAGGGTACAGCTGAGAGAGGCGGGGAGAAGATGCAGGACAGATGGCTACATCTTCACAGAGCCAATGTTACTTTCCAGCATTGGTGTTCAGCCTTCCTAACGTTGTGACCCTTTAACACAGTTCTTCATGTTGTGGTGTCCGCCAACGACACAATTACTTTTGTTGCTACCTCAGAACTACAGTTTTGCCACTGTTAGGAATTGGAATGGAAATATCTGTGTTTTCTGATGGTCTTGGGTAACCCCTATGAGAGGGTCCATTGACCCCCCCAAAAGGGATCACAACCCACAGGTTGAGAACCACTGCTTTACAGTGCTCTCCCTAATTTACTGCACTCTGCCACCTCTTCCATGGAACCTGTACTCCAATGTCAAGAAAATGCCCGTGAGCAACCTCTCATGTCCCTGTGAAAGCATAGCACGGTCCTAGGCCCGAGTTGTGATCTTTCCACCCAACATTACCTTCGGTAGGATACTGAGGTAGGAGGACTCGTTGGATGTTTTCAGAAACGCAGATGAGGATGGTGGGGGCGTCCTGGTGAGGTCACCAAGCAGTTCATCATTCCTGCTGCCCCTGGGCGCCAGGAAGCTGGCACTGTGACTGAGGCTCCCAAAGCCCGCAATGTCAACATCCTGGAGAGAGCCTTTCCGATGGCACCTGTACCTGGCGTCGGGGCACAGCAGAGCCTCCTCAAACACAGACTCCTCATCGGACAGCTGCAGCTTCTCCAGCTCCTTGTTGATTTTCTGCACATCGGCCACGGTGGTGCCAGCGGACAGGCGGCGGCCCTCGGGCTTCGTGTACTCAGCACACAGACTGAGGATGGTCTCCAGTCGCTGCCGCTCCTACAGCAAGGAAGGAGGCAAGGTCACTGAGGGTGACAGAATGGAGACAACTCCAGACTGACTGCAGGGCTGGAGGGCTTTTTCACATACTGATCCACAGATGTCCTTCCTCCTGCCTGCCCTCCCTTCCTCCATTCCTCTCTTCCTTTTTGAGATAGGATCTCTTGTTGTATATCCTTAAACTCATAACCCGCCCCTCTTGAAGGCTGGGAATAGTATGGACAAACCACATCTGGCTTCCAACACCTTCTCTGGCTGCATTTAAGGACTAGATAGAACTCTTTGTGGTTCCTGGTTTCTCCCCTAAACATGGAGTCAGCTGACTGCCCTTCCCGGTATATACCTGGGCTGAGTATAGCATACATCAGATTCTAACAAGCATCCCCTTGGTTTATCATGCCTCCAATGAAGAGCTTTCTTTAAACCTCAATATTCTATGCAGTCTTATTTCCCTCCTTCTCCTAACCCACTGTTAACAACAACTAGCTCTTCCAACATTACAGGTTTAACACTTGGGCTTATCACAAACACCCTAACTTCACAGCGAAATGTTCTCTTACTGTTAGACACACCAAGAGAAACATGGCATTTAAACTATCTTTCAGTGCATAGTCTTTGTCTGTGTCTTCATTTATTTTTTTTGCAACGAAAATTTCAAAGCTTTTAATAATGACTGGTCACCGTGTAACAAAACTATGAACAAAACTATCTTTTAAATGTATGTCTGGGTTTAGAGGGATGGCTCAGTTAGAAAAGGCCTGACTGACCAGTCGGGTGACCTGAGTTCAATCCCTAGGACTTCCATGATGAAAAGAGAGAGCGACTTCCATATTTGTTCCATATGAACAAATATGAACACACACAGAAAGACAAATAAATAAATAATATATAATTAAGATGTATAATTGTTGCAATAAAACAAAGAACATCAGGTCCAGATAGAACAACATCAATATATCTTAAAATCCAAAATCACTGAAAGTGTGATTCATGTAGCAGGAAAATAAAATGATCATTGACTTTAAAAAAAAAAAAAAAGGCCACAGGCCATCAAGGTCTCAAATAATGCCACTCACAAGCTGGCCCCTCACCAGATTCCATATAAGAACGTAGACATTTATAATTTTAAGCAAATTAATAACATAGTTATGAACAGCAGGAAATAATTTACCAAATGGTTCTCATAAGCCTAGACAGCCTTGCCTGGGGTGGGGAGCCCCACATAAATTTAATGCCGCAATGGAAACAA